ACCATGTTGGCTATACACATAGGGTACTTCGACTCTTTATGAAGTCGTTTTCTAATAGCTTTTCTACTTCCTCGTGGACACCATCACTAATAGTGGGATTGAATTTTTGTCGGATCTGCCTTACAGGGGGATAGAATGGGTCGATTTTCAATTTGTGTGTGGCAATCTCCTTGGGGATGCCCGGCATATCTGCATTAGTTATTAAAAATTGACTAAATTTACCTGGTTCTCGCAAATTGCATTCGATGTAGGCCTTTTTGATGGGTCGTTGGGATCTAATATAATGGGGTCGAGGTCCTCTATCGTTGAGTCTGCGGCTTCAACCGTTTCGGGGTCCATGATGACGTCCCTAGTCTCTTCTTGAGTCGACCTCGACCATATTGATTGCTATGCTTCTTTTTCCTTATCTTTCTTTTGTTGGGTTGTCGTGTTATCCATTGCGATGCAGTAGCATTCCGGGGATGTGCATTGTTCCCCTCGTATGCTGAATATTCCCCAAGGTATTGGAAACTTGATCAATTGGTACAGGCTGGAGGGGACGACTCTCATGGAATGTATCCATGGTCGTCCTATTATGGCATTGTATGCGGTGGCCTAGTCCATGATGTGGAACATTGTCTCTAGAGTTATGCCACCGGCTTAGACGGGGAGTGTAATTTCTCCCGATGTACGTTCAACTGCATTATTAAAATCGGTCAGTGTAATGCAGCGCACCACTATCTTGTCCTTGAGTCTCATCTAGGCGAGGACTCGGGGATGGATAATTCACGCTCCACTCCCGTTGTCTACCATGATGAGTTTAACATCACTATCTAAAATTTATAAAGAAATGACAAGAGCATCATTGTGAGGGAAAGTCAAACCTTCGGCATCTGACTCATCGAAGATAATACTTTCTTCGAGTCCATCATATCATTTGTGGGTGATCGATCTTTAGAACTTGTGAGTGGTAGTGAATTTGACGTCATTGATGGAGGCATCATCACTACCGCCAATAATCATATTGATGGTGCGAGCTGGTGAGGGAGGCTTCGGTGGGCCTTGACGTTCTTGACCCCTAGCGAAGGTGTTCTTTCCCTTGTCGATCAGTAGCTCTTTGAGGTGCCCTTGTTGCAACATGTTCACTACATCTTGCCTTAAGGTGATGAAATCTTCTGTTTTGTGTCTGGGTTCTTGGTGGAACTTGCAGAGGGTGTCAGATTTCCTGGTACTAGGATCAGACCTCATCTTTGGCGGCTATTTCACCTTTGTTCCGAATTTCTCCAGGGCGTAGACTATTTCTTTAGGCGAAACACAAAAACTATGAGCAGATAACAAGGGGTGAATACCTCTCTCATTCCTATAAGTCCTCGGCCTACATAGGCCATCATCATAGCGGAAGGGAGGAAGGGCGGGGGTCATGACGTAAGGCTAATGTCGTTCCTTATTTGGCCTTGAGACTGGGTGATCCCCCCCCCCCCC